GAGGCATTTATATACATATTTTAGATATATAATTTAGTACATGATAAGTATATGCTATGGTAGAAATATAAGCTAAGATATAGGTACTATCTTCATCAAAATAGTCAACTGTGTCATCTGTTACATAGATGAATACTTTGGCAAAGATAACATAAAGAGTAAAGATGAAATAAAATAAGAATATTCCAGAAATGGTAAATGTGCAATATGTGCAATATGTGCCGAAAGTGCAGTAACAGATCCGTAATACAAGATTATTCTAGAATGGGCAATATTACAAGGGTAAATGTTATTAAAATTGAACAAGGGATAATGAAGATCATTAAGCAAAAATCAAGTATAACAATACGTAGTGCTAAGTGTTCAATGATCAGGTGGCTTATAAGAAGAACATAGATTTTTCACATTAATTACACCTTATTTATAATTACGCCATTATAATGGCAATATTTGAGTAATTATGCCTCATCTATATACAGATGATAAAGTATAAATAATGTTATTTATTATTGTAATTATTGGCAAGTTTAATTATATTATTAAAATTATGCTTTTTTAATTATAATTAAAAATCCATTTTTGTATTACAAGACCAGTTTACTAAATGAAAGCAAATTTATTCAACAGCAAAATATCATATTGTTAAATTTAAAAATATAATAAATATAATAACCTTATAAAGATGTTATACAGTAGTAAAGTAAATCAACACAAAATCCTTATTAAGATAATAACAAAAATCAAACAATAAATATCATAAATAGAAATAATATAATATAAAAAATATAATAAACTTTAAAATATTTTTTAAAATAATATTTAATGGATAACCCTTTATTGCTGAAAAGAATAAATAGAAATTAAAATTTTTCTAAACACATTATATTGAAATTGAGTAATACCTAAAGGAGTATAGTTGGAAATACAATTTGAATAACGTATAACTACTTATGATTATCATACTTATATGTATATTAAATTATTAAACTATAAAACTAGTACGTATATATAATAGTCATACATATACGTATGCTTATATACGTAATAAACTTTTAGAATATTAATAAGTAAATAATTATTGACTTTTTTTTCTTTATATGAATAATCTTTGAAAAATATTTTCGTAATGAATAATTTAATTACTCAAGTTATCGATGGAATTGAAACAATTTATGAAGAAGACCTTGAAAAATATGAAGATGAAAGCGTAAATATATATATTATAAATATTATGAATGAAAAATATTAAAAAATATTTTAATTTTTAGGATTCAACGATTGATAATGACTTTCAAGATATTGAATACAATTCAACAACTACAAACAATTCAAATAATGAAGAAGAAGTGACATATTTTACAAAAGAATTAGCTTCGCAAGTTGTTTATCATACTTTAACATCAATAGAATATCCAAAAACAAGTTCTGAAGGTGTTGCTTATATTTATAATGTTGAAAGCTAGGAAGAACCATTATCCGCATTTAAAGATGCAAGTTAAATTTAAAAAACCTAGTTAATTATATTATATGTTAAATTTAAAAAATTTAGTTAATTATATTATATATTAAAATTTATTTTTAGATTCAATATTCGATTGGTAAACCTGGTGGTGAATATAAAGTCATGTGTTCTTATCTTGGAGTTGAAGTAAAACGTGAAATGAGAACTTGTCAAGGCTCAAAACTTTGTGAATTTGCTGCTAATGAACTTCAAAATGAAATACACCAAAGTATAGATATTAATTCTGATCTTATGATATGAATTACTCAAGAAATATCATCGAATAATATTAATAATAATACCTTTGAGTAAGTAAATTAAAATATTTAAATTACAAGTTAAGGTAATAATTATTTATTATTTTTATAGATTTTATCTTGCTATTCAAGAAATAGCATGCAAATTTCAAAAAAATAAAAAAATATGTGATGGAAAATCTATTTTACGTTGATTATCATGTCAAGATAACTTAGAATTCACATATTTTATTGGATGTATGAAGTGGAAACCTTCAGAAAAATATCATCGATTTATTAGTATTCCTTCTAATATTAGTATTGAAATTTTACATGATTTATTAAATAATGTTTATGAAGTAAGTATATTATTATTTATTATATTTAAATATATAATTTATTTATTAATTAATTTAATTTTTAATATATAGCCTAATGAATATAATAAAAATCAAATTATAAATACATGCTATATCGTATTATCAAATTCTTCAAAAAAAAATATTGTGGTAAATATTATAAATTAGTTTAAATTAAAATTTTAAAACTATTTAATATAAATAATATTTTTATTTTTATTTAGCTTATTCACATCGAATAGAAAATAAGATTTGTCGTAATCATATTAAAAAAAAATCTTGTAATGTGGAATTTTATAAAATTATACCTTTGAATCTTCAAGCATGTCCGTTCGTAATTCTTATATATAGAGGAATACATACACATTCACCACTACTACCTATACGAACACCTAATAATATTAAACAAAGATTTTAAGCTCTTATTGTCCAAAGCATAGTGAAGGACTATACTTATGATGTAGACTATTTAACAAATTGAGTCACATGAAAATTCTGTTTGTCTACCCACGTGTTATTATTTATATTGTCTACGCATGTGTCATCATTGGCATTTTTCATACATGTATTATTATTGATATTTTTCGCATTTTAGAATTGAATAAATGAATTTATACAGAATAAATATTTTATTTTATTATATTGATATTATGGAAATTAATTGTTTTTCTTCTTCTAATCTTTTTTTTAATCTTTTTCCATTTTTTATATGTTCAAGTCTCTCATAAGTAAATGGTCTAAATATAATACTTTCAAGGGTACGTACTCTAGACACTGCTACAAAGGTAAGTTCAGAATTGAACTTTTTGTTGCCAAGATCTATTTTTACTTTTTGTAAGGTGAGTCTTTGACTTTTATGTACTTTGATCGCCCAAGCAAGACGAAGTGAAATCTGTGTGTGTGAGCAAGTATTACTTGATTTTTCTATTCATGTATGCTGAATAGGTACAATTGGTATTATTTCTTCACCATTAAAACTATTGATAGTGGATCCTTTATAATTATCGAATGTAACCAGTACTGCTATTAAGAGAAACAATGGACCTTGGTCTTCTTTAAAAATTATGTCTTGAACTGTTTCTATCGAGCCATTAATTAATCCTGTTTTTGTTTGTAAATTTGCTATTAACATGACTCCAACCCCTCTTGCCAACAATATATATGTTTCAAGTCTATGTACCATTTCGGAATCTGCATTTTTTGCTTCTTTACTACCTGAGTGAATGCTTTATATCTTTGCGATTGGAACATTTAACCCCTAAGTCATTCAATATTGACTACATTAACTTTATTCCATTTTGTTAGAATGTACAAAGTTTTATCAAAACTCTTTCTTTCTACTATACTAAGCTTGCTTTCTATTCGTGTTGTGAGTATTTTTCAATCTACTGTTGACTTTCCATCACGCAATCTTAACAGAATGTTTCGGAATTGGTATTGCTCCTGGAAGTTTTCTGCTTACCTCTGAATGCTTTCGAGCTGATATACTTCTTTGAATTGTTTATATAGTACAAGTCCATTATTAGATATCTCATTATAACTTTTGGACCTTGTGTATATGGGAATGTCTTGAACTGGTGGAAGTTGTCCAAAATCACCAAACATAATAACCGATCTTCTGCCAAATGATTCATTGTTATATTTAGGAAATACTTGTCAGAGTCGTATATTGATTATTCCAAGCATTCGTCTTCCAATCATGCTTTTTTCATCAATTATTACATATTTTATATCTTTAAATTATTCCTGTAGTTTCTTTAGTTATTCACCATTTATATTGAGTCATTTGATATCATTGATTATTAGTACTGATAATCCTGAATGGATCGTGCTTCCATTGATATTATATGCTGCTACTTCTGTTGGAGCAAGAACTATTATTGGCAATGTGTTATCTTTTTTTATTATTTCTTGAATTTTGCATCAAATTGCTTTGATTAGATGCATCTTTCTGGTTCCTGCAATTCCCATCACAATTATTTTAAGAGATTCGATCTCATTTCCATTAAGTACTTCATTATAATGTAATTTGATCCACTTTAATACTATTTTTTGTTTTTCATTTAAATTATTGTAGTGCATTATTATGTTTTTTTCCACATTGATGCTATTGTTTTTGTCTATGAAAACTTCAATATTCTCAAGATCCGTCTTATTATATCGTTGTCTTGGTTCATTAATCCAGTTATAATTCTTATCTATGTCATATAATCCTAGATCCGATATACTATTAATATTGATTTTTGGGCCCATTCTTGTGAGACACATCCAATCTGTTTGTATTTCATCTTGTTCGCCATCTTCTAACGTTTCTTCTTTTTCATTGCTTAGTTCATTTTCCTCTTCGTCAATAGATATGCCAAGTATATCATTTTTATTTGTGTTAATTTTTTCCAGATGTTTATTATATATTTCTACCTATCTGAGACTGTTGAATGTCTTGATGACAAACATGAAGAAGTACTTTTATTCAACAAAACTCCTCTCATTGTACTCTGTCTTGTACAGGTAATGGTCATGGAAAAATTCTAATGATATTTTCTTGTTTACATTGATCCCATCGATCCTTTACCCTTTTATGTGTTAGATTTAGTTGGTATAGTGTATATTCCTCAAATTTGTCAGGTCTGTCCCAATATAATTTTAATGTTGATTTTTCAGTTCGATCGTTACTGTTATTTAATACTGTTTCGTTGCTTTCTCCTGTACCCCGGATCCATCTTGGTGATTCCATATTGAGATTTAAGCACACAAATTAATGGCTTGAATGGTATAGTGGTTGACTTAGGAGAAGGTAACATGTTTCTTGTATTGATATGTTCCATTCTGTTATATTATATAGTAGTAGCTTTTGTATTACTGTTGTTCCGGTTTCATCTCCTTGACTTTTATTAAATATATTATCCAGTATACTAGAGAATGCTTCCGATCGAGGTTCACTCTTACTTGCATACTTTGTTATATATTGCAATACAGCATGAATGGTTAATATTGGTTTTAAGTCCACGTTAGCTCTTCATTCCTGTAGTTGAATCTGGCTATGTGGATTTATTATTGGATCATTCTATTTTGTTATTAACTCTGGCTCCATTTTTTTCATATTTTATATATGTGCTATTTGTTACTTCCTTCAGATAACCAAATCTACATGCTTGCTTCCCATTTTTGTTGGTGTAAAGGCAATAGGATGGGCTGCATCGGGTATGTCATTGTAGTTTATTGATTAGTTCAATGTAATCTTGTGTATCATCTTTTATCTCATTGCTTTTTTTTTTACATGGATGATGTTCTGGGACTGGTATACCTAAACCTGGATTGATAGTAGTTATGATACTATCAAAGTATTGTAATATTTCTCTTCTTATAGTCTCATTTTCTTGCATTTGCTCTAGATTTATTATAGACGCATTCTTATTTTTCCGATCCTATGCATGTGTGCGCTTCCGCGGTGCTGCCATTCGTACTGTACCGGTACTAATAGTCTTTAAGGTCCCAATGTTTCTTGAGTACTTTTTCAAAGAATATTTCGAATCTTTTGCTAAAGAACCACACTGCTATATATGGATTATCAATTATATTTTGTTGACACTCTTGACTAGTATTATGTTGTCCATTAGATAACATGATTTTGTACAATTCTGGCCAATGTAGATTGGCTGCACTGAATGTAAAAAATATCAGACCTTGCGTTCCTATTTGCTTTATCATATCGCTTAGTTCATTTTTTCTTGCATTTCAGAATTGACGCAATCCTTATATCACTTCTTCATATTACATTATTTTATCGGCCATATGATTGTTACCCTGATTTATTTTTTCTTGTATGTCTGTTACGCTAATTTGTACATTCCAATCTGTTGCTTAACATATACCTTTCCTTTCTGCAGTGCTTGCTATCTCATTTGCAAATTAAGTGCGAAATATCTCTATCGTCTATGTTGCGCAAATCTTCCATCCTTATACATAAGAAGGTGTTTAAAATATTTGGCTGGTTTTACCTCTCTAATGCGTTTAGAATGAAGGTTTGCTTTATCAGTAGAATACAAAGTTGGAAATGCACATGCGATGTATCCTGGCATTTGAAATTCATTCACTGGATTAGAATCTATTTCTGGTTATATAAAAAATGTTTCTTCTTCTTTAATTCTCTCAAATACTGTTTTTATTGCATCTTCTTCTCTGTTTATATTTGGATGGTGTGGCACAAATTTATGTGTTATTATATCTTCGTTATTTTCATCTTCCTCTTTTTCCTTAATGTCCACAAGTTTTTTTGCAATTGTTATAGGTTCATTATCTGGTAATAATTGTATTATCTCATGGTCGATCGTGATGTCAGAATAATATCGATTGTTATTTTTTAGTCA